CCAAGCAAGGACATCAGCTTGTTAAGCCCGTCCTGCATGCCCTGGGGCAAAGAGGAAACTTGTTCCATCCTCACAGAGGATCAGTCTAAACGACTCAGGTGTAGATTGACAACAAGTGCTACCAAGTGCAGCGGGGCTGCCGTAGCTTTGCGCTTTGAAAAAGCATAACTTAGGTCACCGACCTTTCGTTCTATACTTAGAACAAGCACGGATCGCAATCCGCTGACTCAATGAGTAATTATTGCCTTAACCCAAGGCTGATCAACTCTTCCGTTTAAAATCCAAAACTGAGTTTATTTATTTTTATCTGCGGCAAAGCCGCCTGATTTTAAATGTATAGATCTTCCTAAATATATATAGTAAACTTTAAATACATGCATAACTACTGTCTACCCAGCCACATACCGTATTCTTATTTGGAACAAGTCGGACCATGTCCATCTCGTGTGACACACACCTCTGTTATCAGGATTCGTGTAACCCCGTTACAATTGCTCTATACTCACCGAGGACTAGTCGTAATGGTTTAGGTGTAGATTGACTACGAGTGCTACCAAGTGCAGCGGGGCTGCTGAGCTTTTTGCTTAGGAGAAGCTAAGCTAAGGTCACCGACCTTACGTTCTTTACAAGAACCCTTTCGAGTGCAACGGGTCGCAATCAGCTGCCTCCAAGAGTACTCAAAACGTTAACCAAGGTAAAATGACTCTTCGGTTTGAAATTAAAACTGTATTTTTTGTTTTATTTACGGACGAGCCGCCAAAATCTGAAACCTTAGGCTTTTTTAATTAATATAGTAACACCTAATTAATATGCATTACTACCTGGCAATCCCGCCACGTAGTGGTTTTTTTGTTACGGTGTAGCCTCAGCATTGTAAGATTATGTAATTCACACCTGTGTATGGTCACACCATCTTGTGTGACCCGCCCTTTCATATAAGGGTACATGTAACCCCGTTTACACAAGAAGCTTTTGGAAAAAGTACTGGTGCTAAGCTCGGCTTCACAAGCAAAAAACAATCATGAATGATAGTGACATCTTCCAATACAACTGTCTAACGATACTAATTGCTTCAAACAGCACAATCTCCTGCTTTGGTTATCGCAACCCATATTTGGGAAGGAGTTGAAGAGGCGTATACGCTTTTCTTACCTCAAAAAGGTTGTTACAGTAGCCACACCATTGTGTGATTACACCGTTTTGTGTCATGCACACCTTTGAATGGTCTGTGTGACCCACCCTTCATACAAGGGTAAGTTAATATCTTGTATTGAAATATGACAACTCAAACTAGCCAAATAATATATTAGCGTTAATCCAAATTTATGTCCTTCTGCAAATTACAAAGCATGCTAATTAGCTAGTAGCTTTTGATGCTCTTGGCTTCACTGTTGGGCGACACGTAAAGATACAGCCTTTATGCGTTGTTCTCGTAAAGTCAAAGCCCCCTATGTGCAAAGTGCACGGGAAAACCGTCGCAAAGTGTAATCTCACGTACACCAATATACGGTACGTGCCCTGTTACTTCCGCCAAATAATTTTACTTTTTTCGTATCTGTATTACAACCTTGTCAATTATGCGTTCCTTTGGACACTTCCGTTGTTAATTGTTTACAATCTCTTGATGGTATGATTTGTTCACAATTTAATACTAGTGTTTGCCACTACAAACAATGGACTAAAATTCAAGAAGTTACCAATCTATCATGAGTTCCCAGATTCAAATCTCATGAAAAGATCTGCTAATACAAATTCAAAGTATTGTGTTAAAGGCAGCAGGTCCTCAAGGTTGTGAGTGATCTTCGCCTAAGCCACCATGCTTCCTCCTTCGCAATCTAGCGTTGTTTGCGAGTCGTTTGCAGGTCATACCGAGAATTTCCAACCGCTGGTGCTTAAAGCCTATCGCGGCCCTCAAAACTACAAACCGTTGGCACTTAGCACGAAAAAGAATGAAGATTGCTCCGAGAAAGCAGGCTTAAAGCTGCTCGTCGGCGCCGGTGTTTGCCTAATTTACGAGTTCGCATTGGGTCACTATCTAGAATTCATCAAGATTATGAAGCAGACCAAGCCGCAATATTCATACGCACACCTGACCAAAGAGATTATGCATGCCAAAGGCCTCGTGGGAATCTGGGATGGTTTTTTTCCATGGGGTGCCTTACAGGGAGTAGCCAAAGGCTCTGTCTTTGCATGGGGACATTCAGTGGCTCGTACAGCACTCACCCCTATGGTTAAGAAGAAAAAGATCAGTAGTGGAACGTCCGAGGTGATCGCTGGAGGCATCGGTGGTGGCTTTCAAGGCTTTGTGCTGAGTCCTACGCTGCTTCTTAAAACGCGCGTCATGACAGATCCTGTCTTCCGTGAGAACATGACGCCTTTCGAGACGATGTCGCGTTCCATGCGCATTGGTGTTAAGGTCATTCAGAAAGAGGGTGTGGCAGCACTTATGAAGGGCTCTGGCATGTTTGCGCTCAAGCGTGTTGCCGACTGGTCCACGCGCTTCTTCTTCTCGGTTCAGGCTGAGAATATTCTGTATATACGCAATAGTCCGGAACGCACTCTTACCACGAGCCAGCAGGCTATTTCGTCGCTGGTTGGAGGTGTACTAAGCGCGGCATTGACCCTGCCCATGGATGTGCTCGTGGCACAGATACAGCAAGCATCCAAGGCTGGCGTTAAAGTATCAGTTATCGAAGTCTTTCAACAGCAGTACCGTGCGGGTGGTCTAAACCAAATGTTATCATTCGGCACCTCAGGATTCGTTGCGCGTTTTGTTCACGCGAGTTTCACGACGATGATCATGAAAACGGCAACAAGCGTCGTTTATAACATGATTGAGGACCGAAACTAGCGCAATTTCACATTCTGTCCAGCTTTTGCCGATGGTCTAGACAGACAAGAGATTATTGTGCACTGGTAGACGAACGACGTATAATTTCTGTGTCTAAATCGAATAATGTTGCTAGTGTATTACCTTGACGTAAGACAGTCATTTGCAAATCATGTTTGACTCGGGCCCATATCAGAAGCTGAGGTAAACGTAGGCGGAAGAAATGCCAGATAACGATGAAGGATATAGTTCTCGGCCTTCTTCATTAGCTCGTAATCGTCGTCCCGCTCGTGGTCGTAACTGTTTTAGAAAACATAATCTTCGAGTCATTCACAATTATCAAGTTGTAGCAATGAAATAAATACCCTAGCAAGTGGCAGAGTCCGTGTGCCATCAGCACTGGCAGCCGCTCTTCTAGAGTCACGATCTCGTCAAGCAGCGGATCTTCACACTGACGTTGCACGTACGTTGGACTGATATAGATATCCCCTAAGTATCGCTCCTCCTTAAGATTGACGCGTGGGAACCGTCCAGGCTTGCGAACCTGACCAAACACAATTCAATTGTCAAAATGAGCTGCTGATTAGCAAGTGCAATCTCTAAAGTTGGACCTCACTTGATGAAATGGGAAGGACAAGATGTCAGTGGATTTATCCATTTTACAAAACCTACGATTCAGCTTGCGTACGTGATCCTCTGTTGTCAGCATCACGCCGACATCCCTGTCCGATCATTGGTGGCACAGTAAGAAAACTTAAGGTGCTCCAACTTTTGTCGAATTACTCATACCAGAGACCTCCGGGGCAATTCAAACAGTGCAACATGGCCTTTAATTGTGCCCGCAATTTTGCCAATGCATGTGGTGACGGGGCTGCGGCAGTACCGATGAGCGCCTTTGACACATGCACCATGCAATTTCTATGAATTTATTTTTTTATTTACGATAATATGGTCAATTCATTTATGAAAAAAGTATAAGCACAAGCATAAGTAGCCACGCACCGCCCGATTTTAAGAGCATTATCTAACTGCTGTGCTTCACATTCGTCACTCAGTACACTCAGTACTCCTAGCCCGTGAGCTGGTGTCACCCTTGATTATCCTAAGTACCCAAATGCTCAAAATTTACTGTCAATGTAGGCTGTATAAGACACAAACGACGAATGACGCATTTTTGATCCATTTTCGACTTCGTCGCAAACAATGATTGGTATAACGACCCGAAT